CGTTATTCCACTTTTGATGTCCTTTTATTTGATATTTTTTGGCATGATTTATATTTTAATATTTTTTAACATTACCGATGTTTATATTTTTTAGATACGTTTCTCCACATTTTCTTCATGTTTAATAATTATTAACATTTTCAACGTTTTTGAGATGTTCAACGTTTTTCAACATTATCCATGACGTTTTTCAACTTTTTAATTGTTTGGAACATTTTTCGTTTATATCAATATTTTTTTTACGTTTTTCCTTACACTGATTTTTTGACGTGTTTTAAATGTATCAAAATTTCTTATGTAACTTTTTTCAAAATTTGATATTTCTTAAAAATGTGTAAACATTTTTCAGTGTTTTTTAACGTTTTTCATATATTCCAAATGTTTTCGATATTCTACAATTTTCTGATGATTTTTCAATGCTATAAACAATTTTTAACTTCCCTATAGTTTGTTCGTCATGTTTGAATATCTTTCATTCATGAATTTTGTTCTACTTGTTCCAATTGTTTTCGAAAATCTTCAACACTTTCAACCTTCTTCAACAAAATTAACATTTTAGACGTTTTTCAATTTTTGCTGCCCTTTTCTTCAATTTTGTTCAACCCTTATAACATGTTCTAAGCTTTAACCTTTCTTAACATTACTCATGTTTCTCTTCTTTTTTCAGATACTGACGTTTTTAAACATTTTCTGCATGTTTCATTATTAACATTTTTCAACGTTTTCAAAAATTTTGAAATTTTCAATGTTTTTCAATATTTTTTCGGTGTTTTCATATGTTACAAGTGATTTTTGATATTTTCAATATCATTGATACTATCAATATTCCAAATGTTTTCGATGTTCTACAATTTACATCTTTCAACGCTACAAACATATTTCAACTTCGTCGTTTGTTCATCGTTTTGAAACATCTTTCATACATTTCTATATTTCGCTCCAATTATTTTCGAACATTTAACACTTCTAACCTACTTCAACAAATTCAACGTTTTCGACATTTTTCAATTGTTGCTGTCATTTCTTCAATGTGTTTCAACCCTTTCAGCATATTCCGAGTTTTAACAATGTTTAACCTATTTTAGATACTGCTATGTTTTCAATATTTTCAACGTTTTCCAGTTCCTCCACGTTCTTCAACTTTTTTTCTAGATGTTTGGAACGTTTTTCAACTTTTGCTGTCTTTTTCAATGTTCTTTAACTTTAACGGCATTTTTACAAATTGTGACGTTTTTCAACATAATCAACGTATTACAACGTTTTCAATTTGAAATACTTATGATTCGGGTATATATAATAGCTAAAAAATGTCAAATGTCAAAAAGAAACTAACCAAAAAACTTCTACTCCCCATTTTTTCGACAAATGCTTGCAAAACAGATTGTTCTTTTCATAAAATATTTAAGAATTGAAAATTGACTTAGGTAACCTATTTGAATTCACTTTACGATCTTCGGTCACGTAGCCACTGCCAATTAATCATTTAGACACAGAAAACGAATTATTTATTTTTAGAACAATTTGAATGGTGTATGTTGGTGTAATTTTAAACGTGTAATAGTTAAAAAAATCTAATTTCTAATTCTACAGGGTGAGTTAAAATACGATTTATGGAAAAATGTTTAAAAAGTCATTTTTTTAAATAAAAGTGGTTATTTAACGTTGATTCGAATGTTTTGTTGGTAAAAATTGTGATTTTTAGCTCATTCTGTGGACATTCCTTAGATATATCTGTTAAAAAGTGTTATAATTTGATATCCTCAAAATGGATATAAATAAACCAATCAAATAAACAAATATCAACAAAATTTTAAATAAAAACAAATGCTATTTTTAAGTTTTGTTGGTTTTTTAACAGATATATAAAAAATTCTTTAAAATTGATTCAAATTTTATTTAGTTTTTTGTAAATACGTACAGACTCATGCTTTTAATTCTACTACAAAAAAAAACTAGAATTAAAGTTACTGAATTCTGGGTCAATAATCCAAAGGGATTAAGCCCAAACAGACCGAAAAAATAAGAAGTTACTGAATAAAATTCTTAGAAAAATTAAATATTAAAAAGCAAATTACACGCATGAGTATATACGTAAACATATCTCTAACAGACACTTGTTGCACACTCTGTACGTTTCACCTTCCCTGTTAAAAACAATCTTTTCCACAAAAAAATCTATGGACTCAGCTACTCCTCGTTTGCTTCGTTCGTACACGTTGTTATTGTTACATTGATTACCTCGGAAGGCATGATAATCAAATTCGAATCAAAAATCCTTAAATTAACTTTTTATAAACCTTGTTTTTTTGCCGACAATGCAATATTTTCCCAAATACAGAAATATTCTTTAATTGCGTTAGTTAAAATGCGCTGCGCTACCTTTTGATTTTAGCTTATCCATCTCCTTTATCTCTCCTCTCCTCTCCTCTCCTCTCCTGGGGTTTAGGCACAGTTGCACTGCATCCTTATGGGCTTATTGGATATCCTTCTTTTTATCTTTATCTTTGTTGATTACAAGCAGGTACGGTTAGTTTTAGCCTCTTGAATTTTTTGTATTCCTCTGCTTTCCCCATATTATTCAAGTACTATCTTTAAAAGTCTAGTGCTTCTGGTTAATTTTACTAAGTTCCCTACCAAGTGTGAAAAGGTGAGACGCCGCATAGCAAGAGCTTCGCATTTAAAGATCACATGGTATGGGGTTTGTTTCTCTTTCACGCAGAATTTACACGTGGTGGGATCATTGTGTAATCCCATCACATGAAGGTATTTCAGTAAGGAATGTCCCGTTAGTAATCCCACAATGGCAAATATGAGGCCTTGCAAGTTGTAGTACCTCAGTAGCCATGCCTGGGTTTGGTCTCCTAAGCATGAGCCTACTGATTATGTGCTATTTTTTCTGGTGTCATTGAATTTGGGTATTTTGGGGTTATCCACTTGCTCATTGCCTATCGAACAGAGGTTCTGCTTATCTCAAGTACAAATTAGGGTCCTGTGAATAGTAGGGGAGGTCCGCCAAGTTCTAAACTGAGCATATTTACCACCTCCAAATTAGCTTGTAGAGAGTGTCATTGATATAGAAATGCAAGTATTACCACTTTTACCCAAAAAGTTTTGTACAATTCAAGAAAAAAATTATCGAAAAAAAATTGTTTTTTGGCCACTGTACCAACTAGTCTGGTACCGTGGAAAAATTTTAAAGGTACAGTGGACAAACAACAACTTCTCCTAAAAATATTTTTTATTGGGTCAAAACATAAAACAGAAACATAGAATTCATGAAGAAGCAGATCATAAATCAGTCTAATATAGATTGTAATTAGTTAGGTCCGTGGAAAAGTGATGGTACCGTTGAACTCTTGCGGTGCCTCCCGTCGATACCGGAGTTGGTAATGACATCACGATATCTTCTGGTGGGATAATTCACTGATCTGGGACATCAGAAAAAGAAAACTTATTTTCTCGTCTTTTTCTTAGAAAGCTGACACTATATTCTTTAAACCTGTTATCGATGTCCGTAACTTGGCCCACAAAATATTTAACTTGTTTTTTGGTAGCAAATTTTACTAAGATAAAGCTTCCAACCAAAATTTCACCATCGCAATTCTGATCTCTAGGTTCTTCAGTCCAATCAATATCGTCAGAGTCCGTAAGGTTCAAGCTTTCGGTATTAGATTCTATATCGCTACTATCGTCATTCCTTGGAGTTAATGTTTTTGTATTGGCCGTCTCTGTATTAAAGCTGAAAATGTTTCTTGTAGTCGACTTGCTTTTGTTTAAATTTTGTTTCCTGGATTCCTCTAAGTGCTTCTGCTCCTGGATTTTCTTCAATATCGGAGTGCTAGTCAATATTTCGGTAGTTTTTTTTGTCTGTTTTGTCCCATTTTTTAATCTGATTAGTTTTTGGGTATGGCCTTAAGGCCTCGGGACTAAAAACTTTTTGTGGTGGAGTTATTTCTTGTTGGTTTTGAAAATCTCTACAGCTTGGGTCCGCTTCTTCTAATAGGCTATTTTGTTTTTGTGGTGTAACTTTGGCAGTGTCTTGGCTGGGATTAATTTCTTCTGGTTCATTATCTTCTTCGAGAGGTATGTCAGTAACTTGGGCGGCCAAAAAATCATCGTCAATGAAAATGTTTGAATTAAACGGGTAAATTCCCGTAGCTCTGAAACCCGATGCACAATTATTTGTGGAAAATGCGTTGCTATAGATCTGGCTTACAATTTTAGCAATGTCATAAATGCTGATGCATTGACCAGGATGGTTCATCAACCACGAACGGCAGATACTATTAAGGTGGGTCCACATTGCTCGCGAACAATGCGAACGAACACAACAAGCGCAACAAACATAGCAAACAGCATGAATACAACAAAAATCATATTCGTCGTTTTTGGGCTGTTTGCAGCGTTCCTCGTGCTTGCACCCAAAACACCTGTTATGACTGTTCGGTCGGGTAGCGGTACATCAAAGGGATGGATATTGCGCGCGCGAGCACAGTTGACGGCGGTTTGGTGATTTTTTTGTTTTTACTGTTCGCTTTTAAGTTCAGTCAAGTATGAGCGTACAAGCAAGGCGCAGAGCAATATGGAGTGGACTGAAGAAAACATTTTGAAGCTAATTGGGCTTTATGAAACTTATCCTGTTTTGTGGGATCCACAACATAAATTTTATAAGCTAAATAATAAAAAAGCGGTATTCTTTCTTTGGATATGTGGGCCAAATAAATTAATTAGTGTTTCAAAATCGGTACTACTTATGCGACAAAAATTATTAAAAAACATCCCATCTGTTTGCAAATCATGGAGAAGATTACTTTCACTGTATTTGATCTACTTTTAAAAATATTTGACATCTAACACCGTCTTTTCGTCACTTTTTTCCTGTTCTTTCCGTTTTATAATAATAATAATTAACGCACTGGTAGCCACCGTTAATAATAATTGATCATCCATGTCGAAACCGCAAGAGCGCAAACACAAAACTACAATGTGCTCGCGGATAAAACGATCTTGACAAACAGAAGAAACACAAAAAACAACGTTCCGGAAACAGCATAAGCGCGATCACGACCACGAGCGTGAGCACGAACAGGAGCAATCTGGACCCACCTTTATAGTGCGATTTCAGCGAACCATAGACAGCTCTATCCAGTGGCCGTAGTTTGTGGCTCGTATGAGGAGGAAAAGTAAGTAAAATTATGTTTTTTGCTCGAGCCATTTTTATTGCTGTGTAAGAAATGTGACTAATGTGGTTGTCCATTATGAGAAGAACTGGCAACTCTTGTGTTGGTTGAGTATAGGATATAAAATGCTGCAGCCACTAAACAAATATTAGCGACGTCATCCAACCCGAGGGTGATGCTACTCCTATGGTTCCATTTGGTGCACCTTTAATCATGTGATTCTTAAAGAATTTTCTCGGAAATATTAAAAGCGGCGATATATTATTGTCATCCGCATTTATTGCACCACACATTGTCACCAAGGTCCGTCTTTCACTGGACGTTATTTGACCAACTTGTCGTTGGCCTTTCATAGCAACCACTTTACCTGTCTCTTGTACTGTGGTCAGAGCTGTTTCGTCGACGTTGTATATTTTATCAGACCTGAAGTGATGCTTTTCAATAACTTTTTGCAAGTTATCAAAAAACTTCTGAACGACAACTTTATTAAAACCCATAGCACGACCCAAGGATGCAGCTTCAGCTGTTCGAATAGAGAGAGGATATCTTTTGAGATAATTGGTCATCCAATATTTTCCTGCCATTTCATTTTTGAACCAAGAGGGAGGAATTCGCTTGCCATATTCTGCTGCCAATGAAAATGCAAACTTTCTGACATCTTTTGAAGTGAATCCATGATTCAATTTGGCACACATTTGGAGGTATTGACAAAGCTCTGTTTCTTCCGCAATAGAAAATATTCGGTTTACAGTATAATTGGGCGACAATCCAATAGTAACATTTGCTATATCTTCAACAATTTCATTTTTTTTTTTATATCTCCTAAGGGTAGTTCTTGAAATATCGTGACGAATTGCGGCTGCTTTTACAGAAAGACCATGTTACTTTATACTACAAAGAGCATTTCTCAGGGTCTCTGAAGCAATTTTTTCAATTAAACCAGGTCTTTTCGTCTTCGGCCGAGATTCCGATTTCTTTTTTCCATTTTTTAGTAGTTCAACCACCAAACTTTCAAAGAGATTCAGACAAATATTGCTTTGGGTGTTTGAAGGTCCAGGTTTGTCTTCAGGCATCAACTTCTTTTTACCTTGTTGCTCATTCACTATATTTGTTTGCTGTTCTTTGTTAACTAAATCTTCCATTTGATGAATTGTTCCATTTTCTTCGTTTTCATTAATTTCTTGCTCTTTTGTTCCAATAATCACCTCATTTTGTTTACCGTAGTGGTTATATTTTACAAGATCTTGCTGTGAAAATATTGTTTCAGGAAATTTTGTTCGATCTGGTTTACCTGTATCTAAATTATAGATACCTGTTGCTTGAAACCCAAAAATAGTAAGTAGCTTCTTAGGTTGAGCCTTTGCCATTTACAAAGCCTGAAGCAGATGGGTTGTATGTGGTGGTAATTTTAAAATACATTTATCATTATCAAGGGCTTCTTGGATCACATTACACGAAATATGGGTTGTATGTCCATCTACAATTAAAAGGAATGGACGTTCCTTTGATATGTGAGGTAAACCATATTTTCTAAACCAATTCACAAATATTATGGTCGTCATACATCCCTTATCCGAAGCGGCTATGGCAATTATATCTAGTGGTTCAGGTTTTTCAGGTAACATCGACTCAATAACATTTTTTCCTTTGAAAAAAGTTAACAAAGGCAATTTCTGGCCTGATGCTGAACAACATACTAATACTGTGGTATTTTCTCTGTCGCATATAGATATAGCCCCAAGAACTTTTGTTTTTGAAGGGTCACTGGAGAAGGATGTTTCGTCGCAGTTAAATATTTGTTCAGGTCGATTCTGTAACTTTAAGTTTAAAATTGTTTCTTCTAGAAGATCAAAGAAACCGTATATTGTCCAAGGGTTTTCTTGCCTTTTTCTGGCTACATCTACTCCTTGAGCTTTTTTCTTTCACAAAAATTCAAGAACCATTGTTCTCCGGAACGATTATTTTTGAATTTTGTAATATTTAAATTTCTATTCTTCAAATATAACTGCACGTCTCTTGGCGTGAAAGCCCATATCCCCACTTTTGCATTGTATTTCATGTAGAAACTAGTTGCTCTTCCGCTTCTTTAGTTAAAGCATTTTTTCCTCCTCCTCCTCCTCCTCCTCCTCCTCCGTGTCCTTCTTTAGCCAAAATACCAGTTCCTCTTGTACCTTTAATATAATGTCGTAAGGTTGACTTGGGAATGTTACAAAATTTTGCTGCGGCATACATGGATTTATTACTATTTTTAACGTCCTCGGCAGCATGAATAAGAGCTTCGGGAATATCGTTCACCATCTGCCCCTTTTTGGGTACGACACTAGTAATTACGAACCATTATGTCCTGAAAATTTTAGTACTGTCACTTTTATGCACGTTTATTATTTGCAGTAGGATAAAATAGAAGATAAACGTTAAAATATCAAACTAACAGTTACAATACAACTGCATTGGGTAACTGAAACCTACAGATCCAGTTACCCGAAAACTTAAGTTCTAGTTGCCTCATCATATCGAATTTACCAAGGCAACTGGAAACTATACAGTCACACTTGTTTTCATTATATAACCGTCAAATGTTAAAATGAATTACACGATAGATACTTTTTCTTATACCAGGCCGATTTTCTTGTTAAAAAAATGTATTATTGTACTTGTTGCGATGTTTTTAATACGTCAGTGCCCAACGTTGTTATTCTTCTACCAAAAAAATACTTTAACATGAATATTTCCGTTACGATACTCACAGCAAGAACTTAAAAACTAGATGTAACGGAAGCTTTGGGATGATAGCTGTCATGTTACAAAGCGCGGAAAGTTTAAAATATTGGATTACAAAATTAGAAGTATAGGGCCCAATTACGTTCAGGTTCCAGTTAACCAACTTGACCTTACCCCAGAGCCTGTTCCCGTCTTGGGTATAAAATACGAGACCGCTAAGCAAGTATTTTTCTACCTCCTAATTTACCTGGTTCCAGTTGTAGTTGACCTGGAAGAGTCTGTTGAAGGTTAAGCGGGGTGTCACATAATCTGAACCCATGTTTATTTTAGTATCATTTACCTCAGGTGTTATTCTGGTATGTCAGTGGTTCCATTTATTGGGGATGTCCAGCCTGTACTTCTCAGTGCTTCTTTAATACAAAGGCATGCCAGCTTGAGTACTCCTGAGAGGGTATTGAGGGATATTTTCTGGTTTACTTTTGGCCACCAAACAACTGGTTCATAAGTTATCATGGTTATTTTGCCGAATATATCAAGTGGACTATTTTCGGTTTCAAGCCCATATTTTTCCAAATACCCGTCTCTCTACAATGAGAGACATTTTACATTTATTGGTCAGTTGGATACCCTGCTCCTTTATACATTCCACTATTTGGAAATGTTTTAAAATGCATAACTTCGACTATAATGCTTTTAGATCCAAGTGATCATCTCGAACGACCAGAACGAAGTGAATCATTTCTAGTCAATGTGCATATGATCTTGGAAGTTTCAGCTATTTTGATTGGTACTTTTGCAAAAATTTTCCAGATTACACAGAAGGCCAAAATATGCAATATGGTCGATTATTGGCAAACAACACAAATATATCAATGGGAAAGTTTGTTAACTTGTTTCCATTATGTTTCACTGTTTTCATTGTAAAATAAAGGCAAATTTGTGAGTTTTAGAATTTGATCGTTGATTTGGTCTAAAGGTCGCTGCGTAATTTTTTTTTTTTAGTTTGTAGAATGTTTTGAAAATTATTCACCATTTTAAATCACGATTTAGATGATTTAGATTACGTAATTATTAGCAATAAATGGAAAGAATTTAAATTTTGGTAAATTATTATAAAACTAATCATTTTTCCTTATGTAGCTAGAACTAACAGATTATATTAATATTCGATACTGGTGATATTTTTAGATTTTCGATTCGATTTTTTTTATCATCCCTCATCTTTATCAGCTTCTTACCTTGTAGCTAATAGTATTTAATCGCCTTTTGAAATACATAAGCGCTCAGTGCCGTATCACAGGAGAAGCTTATCGTATATTGATAAGAATAATAATAATAAGATATGACTCTTAGATGTTAAGATGAAAATTGGTTACTGGTTTGTTTATACAAGAAATCCAAAATAAAATCATTTCAATAAACTGTGTTTTATTAATTTATTTATTCTAAAATGTTTGAAATATAAATATAAATGTAAAATGTTACATATCGACTTTCTCCGAACTGTCTGATTTGGAGAATTTCAACTTTTTATTAGCATCTTCTTGCTTGCTATCTTCTATTTCATCGGTAGATCCATTGTCTTCTTTGTCTTCCTGTTTTTCTGGTACTTCCGGACAAATGCACTCCTACAAATAATGGTAATTTATTAAAAAAATGATACAAGTTATGAGAGTAATTTTAAAAAACCCGACTTCAAAATCGTGCAGATGCCATCATCACATCTTAACCAAATTTATAGGAGCCACCATTATTAATGGAATAATTAAAAATGAACCTAAATTTTAAACTGCCATATATTTGTTAAAAATGCAGGTTTTTTACCACAGATTTTGGAGTTAGATAGCTTTTTTCTTCGACTCTTAAAAATCAAGCCTTTATTTTGCCATTTGCTAATATTATACAGGGCATTTTACAATGTATGCACCCATATAAAATTCACAAAATTTTAATTTGGGATTTGGGAACTACGAGCTTGTAAAAATTGAATTTTTTTGGACCGTTGGTTACAGCTTTCCTTTAAGTAGCTCCTTTATCAGTTTCATCTCAGTGCCGTGCATGATAAATAAAAAATAGGGTTTTTCAAAAATCTTTCTTTAGACAAAAACACTCTAATTTTTAGTACTTTTTTGTCATAAGGACTTTTAATTATTAGGGATGGTAAAGCTATAGTTAATGTAAGTTATTTATACAAGGTGATTCAAAAGTACTCAAGCTTAAATTTAAAGATATTTCCTTTTATATAAAGGTATTTCCTTTTATTAGTAAAATAGGGTTTCCAAAATCACAAAAAAATCGTACCATCCGAACGGATTCACCGATTTCCAAGAAACTTAATCCGAAGGTGTTGACATGAGACGCTTTTAAAAAAATCGGTGTCGAAATCCGGTTCGTAGTTTCCACGGAAACCGCGAAAAACTTCAAAAAAATCGTGCAAAAATCTGACCTGTCCCTTTTCTGAGAATTTGGTGCACGGTGGAAGGGAGTATGCATAAACAGCAGACGATTAAGACATGCTAGATGACTGATACAAAGGTATTTTTGTTTCCTGTCAACTGTCACTTTTTTATGACGTTCTGAAAATTTCTTTATCTTTCTTTGACGGTTTATTAAAAACAAATAATTTTTTTATTAGTTTTTCTGAACACCCATTGCCCCTCTCTAACCACGCACACAGATTATTCGTCGGGCGCCATTTTTTTTCGGAAAAATTTCCTATGGAATATTTCCGGACGAAACATCCCGTCAGCGACCACGTAGGGGTCACTGCACTTTGTCTAATCAATTTTAATATTATGTTTTATCCTGTTTTATTAAATATTTACTATATCTTTAATCAGATATATGTTTTCAACCCGTCAGCGTCCCCGAAGGGGTAGCTGTACAATGTATAATCAATTTTTAAATTTTTTTTAGACCATTTTATTAAATACTTATTATATCTTTAGTTAAACATATGTTTTCATCCTGTCTGCGACCTCTACTAATTCTATCGAAATAGTTTCCTTTTCCAAATTTATATGGAACCACCCCTGAAGTACCCCCTTTCTAACAAAAAAAGAATCATTGAAATCTGATACCGTGTTAAAAAATTATCGCTAAACATACATAAAAAAAAATTGAAGTGCGCAGAACTAAGACTTTAGCGAAGACGTGACAACAACGCCAACAGCTACCGGTCTTTGGTCAGGTGTGATGAGTCGCGAGGGAAAGGGAAGAACGGTGCGGCGAGACGGGAGGAGACCATAGATAAATTAATAATAATATGTGAGATAAACGGTTTAAATGCACGGCACTGGTAACAAGTTTAGTTCCTCAGCATGCTATATGGAGCCACCATCGCAATAAGATGAAAGCGATGTTGCCAGTGTCCATAAACTTTCATGAGATTAGAGTTATTTCAAACATCTTTCTTGGATTTTGTTAAGCTCGATACCATCCATACTATTGCATACTATTGCTGGAATATTTTAAAGAGAGGTTTGACAACTATATTGACAACCTCGTAAAAATGAAAAACAGAATGGCGGAAGGCGAAATGGGCGTATTACAATTAAATAAAAGCATAATAAAAGTTATTTTCATGATATATCCCCTCAGGGGATATAAATAGATAAACGAGTAAAGATCAGAATCAAACTAAAACAAGAACAGTCACAAAACTGAGCTGTGCAGTATTGAATTGGTTCATAAAAATGTTTACCTCTTCTTCTCCAGTGAAATCGATTTCATAATCGCTCGTTTCTTCTGTACAACTGCAAGCATCGCTCTCGGTTTCGATGGATTGAACAGTTCCGCTCGACGAACTGTTGCTCAAATGTATGCTGTAATCTGGACCCTTCACCACACTTTCTGATTTTGCACAGTATTGAATGCCACCAGCTAAAAAATAAAAAATAAAAACACGGAATTATTTTTTTTTAGATATTAGATGTTGTGAGAAGTTTTTTCAACTGGTTAAAAATACTCTCACTTGTGACGTTCAAACTGAGTATGCTCGGGCGCCAGTTTGTTTTAAGAGTGGTTTGCTCCACTTTACCTATTGGAACTAGGGCTGCAGATAAGAAAGAAAATTCCAGAGGGCCAACGATATTTCAGTAGTTACGTAGTACCGTAGTACGACAAGGGAATGAAATGCCAGGTTTCAATTTGACACATATATTGTTCGATACTTACAAACTTTTCGGTGATATGCGGTGAAGTTAAAACAAAATATTTACAAGCTCTCCCCAAGTTATTTTGACCATACCCTGAACAAAAATGAATATTAAAAAAAAAACGTAATGGCAGTTAGTAGGCAAAACAAAATAAAACTCAATTGGACAACTGCGGACATCTTTGAATAAAGCGGTGCCGGGAAAACAGCGGTCAAACCAGAAGTACTGGCGGCGGTGGGGTAAATTTCTTCTCTAATTACCTTAGTGCTTTTGACTAGTCGGTTATCTCATGCAGAGACACGAGGGGAGTGGACGGGAGCAGAAGTAAGTTGCAACAGAGAAATTGCAAACCTGGCTACAACCTAACGGACCACAAAATTAATATCCTGGAAACGCGACCCTTGAGGATGACGCTCCAGGCTATGTAACCTCGTATAAATCAGACTTAGCCCAATCGGATTAGGTGAAGAACAGGCTTGAGATTCTGAAAAATTCGAAGCAGCAATTTTCCTTCGGAATTCGTTGGAGGGGGTCTGTGGTAGTCTAAATTCAAAAAGTTGGGATTCCAAAGTTGTCGTTACCTCCGCCAGCTTGATTTAAAGGGTTATTTTTTGTATCTTGAATAACTCATTTATTTTCAATTTTACACGGAAAATAGTTTTTACAAAAGTTATTTAAAATTAAATTTCCTACAATTCTGCTTTTTTTTTGTACGATCGATTTTTTTCGATTTATACCCGAAAAGAGGGGGTGAATTTTTGGTTATAGAATAACTCGTTTATTTTTAATTTTACGAGAAAAATTGTTATAAACAAAGTTGTTTAAAATTAAATTTCCTACAATTCTGTTTTTTTTGTACGCTCGATTTTTTTGTATTTATCCCTGAGAAGAGTGGGGGTAAACTCTTATCATTGTATTATCACGTTTCTTTTTAATTCCAGGTATACAGTAAACCCCAAAAGAACGAGGCAGCTGCTCCGTAGAGCGCGTGAGAGAAAATAAATTTCATTTTTTTAATTGTAAAAATTATACTGTTCGATAAACTGATTATTTACACCCCTCTTTTCCTTTACCGTGAACGTGCGACCCAACAATATAAACTTTAGAAAAAATCGGAATCATAATTGTACCAAATAACATTTTTGAAAATCAGCAAAAAAAAACAAACAGAAAAAATAATGGTACAACATCAATAATAAACGTGACAATACAATACTTAGGTTCACCCCCACTCTTCTCAGGGATAAATACAAAAAAATCGATCGTACAAAAAAAAACAGAATTGTAGGAAATTTAATTTTAAACAACTTTGTTTATAACAATTTTTCTCGTAAAATTGAAAATAAACGAGTTATTCTATATCCAAAAATTCACCCCCTCTTTTCGGGTATAAATCGAAAAAAATCGATCGTACAAAAAAAAAGCAGAATTGTAGGAAATTTAATTTTAAACAACTTTGTTTATAACAATTTTTCTCGTAAAATTGAAAATAAACGAGTTATTCTATAACCAAAAATTCACCCCCTCTTTTCGGGTATAAATCGAAAAAAATCGATCGTACAAAAAAAAAGCAGAATTGTAGGAAATTTAATTTTAAATAACTTTTGTAAAAACTATTTTCCGTGTAAAATTGAAAATAAATGAGTTATTCAAGATACAACAAATAACCCTTTAAATCAAGATGGCGGAGGTAACGACAACTTTGGAATCCCAACTTTTTGAATTTAGACTACCAGAGACCCCCTCCAACGAATTCCGAAGGAAAATTGCTGCTTCGAATTTTTCAGAATCTAAAATACTAATCCGATTGGGCTAACTCTGGGAGCGAAGCCGAATCAGCCCATTCTACCACACGGGATAGTCACTATACATCGACTTACAATTCAGAGTCCAGCCAATTGGGCGGAAATTTACTAAAAATCTAACTAACGGTGAGGACAGGTATCAGAATCAAATAAACCATAGCAACGTTAATCGCGGAGCTAAAGGAATTTACAAGGGAGATGCAGACTTGTACTAAATAGCAGTGAAAGTAGCTAAGCTTCACTTCTGTTCAATAGTAAATCCGAGACATATCATCTGAGTTGGCTACCAAATTAGCCTTACAATTCTCTATGTTTACTGACTGGAAAAATAAATACTGAAAATCGTCACTGTCTCCTGGACTATACAGTTAGTAGATGATGACGATGTACTGGCAGAAATGTTTTACGAAGATAATTGGTCATCTCACTCCGATTTAGAGATGGCATGATGTCTTCACAACAAATGTACTTTTATCAATAAATAGTTGAGGATGTGGCTCACCTCCTCCGGTTTTCGCGTCGATTTCAAATGCGCGAGGACGGTAGTGGGGACGCGATAAGTATACAGCAATATGAGATTTAACATAAAATGGACAATTATTTACAAATCGCGGGAATTTCTGAAAATTATAATTTAAAAATCGAGGAACTTTAAGAACAATGATTGATCCAGTTAATTAGAAATAGGATTAAATTTTTAGTGCATTACAATGTATAAAGGATAGATAAGTGGATAAATATATTAGCTCTACCAAGTTAAATATTACTAAAGCTACAATTATGTATTAAGATAGCTAATGTAATAAAGCTGACATTAAAAAGCAAAATTCCTCTTCGAGGCATGATTCATTTTCTTTAAAATTCATAACACCAACGTTTCTATAACTAGCTGCTTCAGATTAAAGACAATGGTTTAGAAGAATTGAAAAACGTATTTTTTCTAATTTTGACAAATAAAGTGACCTATTTTGTAATCACAGCAAGTGTCAAAACGATCTACTTTATGCAATCAGTTACATAAAAATTACCACGTCCTCCAGGATAATAACTAATATCCACGTTCTCCTTCGACATCGTACTGAAACGCGTCTTCTTCAAATCGCTACAAATGCACCTGCTCGACGAATCCTTCGAATAATCGGACATAATCAACGACTTATCAAAGTCATCGGGATTCTCCGTACAAATGACCGATTTCTTACTCTTCTTAAAATGCTTGTAACACCAATTGAGGATGCACATCAAAATTAGTACCTTCGTTGCGACCGTAAACGAAAGAATCTAAAAAAAAAGTCGATTAGTTTCAAGTCAGGATATCGTGATGGTGAATGCTGATAGCTTACAGCGATTATTAAAGCTGTGGCTTCTATTCTGTTTCTATTGACGCAATTCCAACCTCCAGGTTCTATGTTACACATATGGTACAGGAATAGGGATGGTTCGTATACGTCGTCTTCGAATAGAGACGTCCTCCAGGTACCAGCGCATAGACAGTCACCGTCAGTACCCAATTCTCCATGATGGCATATTACGTTATTCTTACAAGAAATAATTTCGTTAAAACGTTTGTAAAAAGATTCTAAAAATTACACTTTTTTTTACACAAATTACAAAATGACATAATTGGAATATGTAACACAACTTTTACATGGAATGAAATCAACTTTGATAGGAGATATTAACGACGATTCAACCATACTATATATGGACCTTACCTTATGCTTAACAAAATTAAGGTCATGCATTTTGAAAGCAGAAACGCAAAAATTCAATAATGTTCAATCTTTTACAAATTCAGTAGATTTTTAATATTTTAAAGTATGTTGCAATCTTTGGCAATTCGCTTAATTAATGTTTAAACAAATGGAATTAAAGAAAAGACAAATTTTTCGTTGCCAAAATGTGGTACAAAAATGTTTACTACAGTGCGTGAATTTAAATTTTACCCAATAAGTGCATAGTGTATCTAAAGTAAGTGTAATGATATTTATTATTTTATATATTCAATAGTTATAAGTATATTTCGCAATTGTATTAGTCCATCGACACTTAAATAAGTCAACTATAATGTTATTGACTTTAATAGTATATTACATTACGAGTGTGGAAAGTGACATTTTTCACACGAGTGGGAAATATTGTCGCACGAGGCACACCGAGTGCGACTATCACACGAGTGTAGAAAATCACTTTTCACACAAGTGATGTACAATATTTTTCCTACGACCACAAAATAATATCAAAAAATGTAAAACCAAGGTTATTATTACTGTAATAATTAAAATATATTTAAAAAAATAATCAACAATAATCGTATTTGGGGGTGGGTGGCTCAGTGGGTAGAGCCTCTGTCTGTGGATCCAAGGGTCCCAGATTCGAATCCCACCGTTGGCCGGAATTTTTTCATTTAATTTAATTATTTAAAATTAATTCTGATGCCTTGGTAGGATTCCCCACTCGACCATTCACTGTTGGGTTCTAATTAACAGTGCTGTTCCCACATACTTTGATTACTATACGAGGCAAGAGAGAGGTCCGACACGCCCAACATAGGGCGCGGCCATTTTGAACCCTGTGACACAGTTTACAGCTAAAGAATCAGATCGCTCACTCTGCGTCGGCACTTTATCTCAATGTTCCAGTTTATACACTACGCAACTCAGATAATACAATATATGACAACCGCCTATAATAAAACAGCAGTCTTCTGCGTATTCTGAATTTGTATCCCTGGAGAGGATGTTATTTTGGAACTTTCAACTGGTCCGAGTGAGCTAACTGATTCTTTAGCAATAAACTGTGACTTCAAAAATAATATTCACTGACACTGACAGCAGCAAGCAAAATATCAGGTGCGTTTTAATCATCCGATTCTGCTTCCGGAATTGTCGGTTTAGTCGTTTTAACCTGTCAGATTAAAACAAGAAAACCGACAATTTCGAAGCAGAAGCGGATGATTAAAACGCACCTATTAAAAATATTGCGCCAAGATGTAGGCAACACGTAATAAGGGTTCAAAATGGCGGAGTTTTCTCTCCTTTTAAAAGGCCACATACTTTGATTTTCTTTTACTATACGGCGAATGGTCGCACTGCGCAGCTTTCTGAGTGCCTTTTAAAAGGAGATAGAAAACTCCGCCATTTTGAACCCTTATTACGTGTTGCCTACATCTTGGCGCAATATTTTTAATAAGTGCGTTTTAATCATCCGCTTCTAGTAAAGGGGCAGCAACAGTTCTGGCACAATCCTTATGTAAATTAACATGGAAAATCGCTAAGGTTCATTCTAGCAATTTTTGTCTAAATCAAGGTCACACCATCTCAACTAACTCGTCGAGCCACCAACGGGGGAGTGGGAAAAACGGGGTAGTGAGAGGAGTGGGGGAGTTAAATTTCGTCGAATAGAAAAATCATGCCAGAAGGGCCTTAGCGTATATCTCAGCTATCGTTGGGCCGATTCAAACGGGAAAAACGCCATTACGTAGAGATCGTGGTATAGATTAAGGTAGAAGAGAAAAATCATGCGCAGAACGAAAAGCCACAAGGGCCTTAGCGAATATCTCAGCTATCGTTGGTCCGATTCAAACGGGAAAAACGGCATTACGTAGAGATCGTAGTATAGATTAAGGTAGAAGAGAAAAATCATGCGCAGAACGAAAAGCCACAAGGGCCTTAGCGAATATCTCAGCTATCGTTGGTCCGATTCAAACGGGAAAAACGGCATTACGTAGAGATCGTAGTATAGATTACCGTCGAATAGAAAAATCATGCCAGAAGGGCCTTAGCGTATATCTCAGCTATCGTTGGGCCGATTCAAACGGGAAAAACGGCATTACGTAGAGATCGTGGTATAGATTAAGGTAGAAGAGAAAAATCATGCGCAGAACGAAAAGCCACAAGGGCCTTAGCGAATATCTCAGCTATCGTTGGTCCGATTCAAACGGGAAAAACGGAATTACGTAGAGATCGTAATATAGATTACCGTCGAATAGAAAAATCATGCGCAATGTTACAAGGGCCTTAGCAAATATCTCAGCTATCGTTGGTCTGATTTAAACAGGAAAAACGACATTGCGTAAAGAATGATGAACATTGAACAGAAAACTCATGTGTAAAGCCAGAAGGGCCTTAGCGTATATCACGTGGTCCGATTTAAGCGGGAAAAACGGCATTACGTAGAGAATGATTAACGTAGAAGAGAATTTTTATGTAAAGCCAGAAAGGCCTTAGCGATTCAAACGGCTACGTGTAGAGAATGACATCTAGTTGTCATTTCGCACATACGCAGTTCATAATACCGTTTTCATATCTTCGTTAATATCGATCAGATTTGAACGTTGAAAATGGTAGATGACAATGTCATCTAGATGGCATGTGCACATGCGCAGTTCAAGGGTCAGTTCTCGCTTGTCACTTTATATCTTCGTTAATATTCGTCAGATGGCGATCATCGTTCACGTGAACTATCCATATACAAGATGGCGGAGTCAAAAGGACCTGTCAACCGTCAAGGTTCGTTGCTATTGGTCGGAAAGGAATGGGGAAACAGTTGATGTATTCGTTACGTTTCGTTTCGTTACGTTTCGTTACGTTTCGTTTCGTTACGTTTCGTTACGTTTCGTTACGTTTCGTTACGTTTCGTTACGTTTCGTTACGTTTCGTTACGTTTCGTTACGTTTCGTTACGTTTCGTTACGTTTCGTTACGTTTCGTTACGTTTCGTTACGTTTCGTTACGTTTCGTTTCGTTACGTTTCGTTTCATTTCGTTTCGTTTCGTTTCGTTTCGTTTCGTTTCGTTTCGTTTCGTTTCGTTTCGTTTCGTTTCGTTTCGTTTCGTTTCGTTTCGTTTCGTTTCGTTTCGTTTCGTTTCGTTTCGTTTCGTTTCGTTTCGTTTCGTTTCGTTTCGTTTCGTTTCGTTTCGTTTCGTTTCGTTACGTTTCGTTACGTTTCGTTACGTTTCGTTACGTTTCGTTACGTTACGTTACGTTTCGTTACGTTTCGTTACGTTTCGTTACGTTTCGTTTCGTTTCGTTTCGTTACGTTTCGGTTACGTTTCGTTACGTTTCGTTACGTTTCGTTACGTTTCGTTACGTTTCGTCACGTTTCGTCACGTTTCGTCACGTTTCGATACATTTCGTTACGTTTCGTTTCGTGGACAAAAGGACCTAAGTCTCGGTGGCATGTCACCAGGTGCAAAATGGTCAAAAGGATCTTAGGCAGACAAACGGAAAGATAGACAGACAAAAATACAGATAAAAGGACAGGCAGACGGAAAGAGGAGACAAATATCTCCTTAAAATTTATTGATACGAGGATCCAAAAAGACCTAAACATTGAATAATACTTAGAAATCATGTAGAGAGCAAAACACGCCTAAGAACAAAAAACTACTGAAGAAGAAGATGAAGAGTGAAACGTTGAAAGGTTGATATCCGTAGAAATTTATAGAAAAAAGAATGGAAAATCGTAGAAATCTTTAAAGAATACACGCTGCTGCATTGTCAAAGGGGCCGTAATAAATGTAATAACCAAGGAGACATTACTTTTATGGATCTCTGAATACGGGAAGGTAGCAGTCAAAAGTTCAGTATTTTAGAATAAGTCTAAGAAGTCGTATTATTATTATAGTCATACATTATCGTCGTTTCCTTATTACTTACAAGTACAATAAAAATACTCTACGTCCATTGTCGATGGTAAAAAGGTAACAAAATACTCTTCGTCCATTATCGTATGTAAACCTGCGCAGTACGTTATTGTCGTGTCATCGTCTTAATCTTTATTAAAAATAAATACAATTACAATATACCATCATCGTTTGTACTTGATTATCTTCACATTTAACATTTTCAATCTTAATAATCATCTGTAAAACATTTATTATTACCATCTCTTTTTTTCAAGCTATCAACCTAAAAAATATCGCAGCTATCCAACCATTGTCATCTCTACAGGTTTTCGTATGCCTATTCAATATTCTTTTTAACCTAAAAATATGGCATCTGTCATCTGTCACTATTAAAAAACGTTTGTACTCACTTTTTTTCGTATATTATTATTTAGTTTCAGTATTTTTGCATCATCTTCTGTCTCGTATAACTCGTTAAATCCAATAAAAAGGCCTCATTCATTTTCATAAAGTAATTATTGATTGCTTTTATATTTAGCATTTCTGTCCTAAAAATATGACATCAGGCATCCGTCATTATTAAAAACGTTTGTACTCACTTTTTCCGTATATTATTGTTTAATTTCGGTTTTACATCTTAAAAATTATGGCATCTGTCATTAAAAACCAATAAAAAGATCCCATTCTTAGACATCATCTCTATACCGAAGGTATTTCTTAATTAGAAAGCAATTATCGATTGCTTTTATATTTAGCATTTCTGCCCTAAAAATATGTAATCTGTCATCCGTCACTATTAAAAACGTTTTGTACTCACTTTTTCATATATTATTGTTTAGTTTCAGTATTTTTGCAGCATCTTGTGTCCCGTATGACACGTTAAATCCAGTAAAAATACCCCATTCATTTT